ATCATCTATGAAATATGAAAACTAACATATAAAATAATTTTGTGCCATAGAAATTAATTTATTACAATGGTGGGCAGAGAGCTCAGGTGGTAAACTGTTTGCAGTGTAGGTAAACGACCTGTGTTCAGTCTCTAGATGTCACATAAAACATAGCAGATGTGTTGTAGTACACTTGTAATCTAAGCTCCAAAGAAGCATAGATGGGAAAGCGCCTGGGAATCACTGATTAGACAGGTTAACTTATTTATAGAGTTCCAGGCAATAGCAAGAACCTGTTTCAAGAAGAAACAAGATTAAATTACCTAAAGAAGTTCAACCGCACACCCAAGTGATAATCCTCCTAAACTCATAGTGCACATGAACACACAGAGAAAAATGAACATTAAATTCTTGCTGATTTCAAATGAAATATTAAATTTGATAATCTTTAAGTTTATCAAACTGATAGTAAGAAATCCAGTTTGTGAATTGCATCTAACTAAAAAATATATGCAGATAGAATACAAGAATATAAAATACGTATGTTGTAACTTTAAACACACAAGAAAATATAAGCTGTGGAGACATTCCCATGGTAAACTTCCTGCCACTTTGTCCAAAGTATGGGTTCAAACAACTTCAGCTATCAATATTAGAAATTGAATCTCAAATTGACACACTATTCTAGTATCACTAAACCATAAGAAAGGAGAGAATATGCATTTGTTCCAGATGAGTATCTTTCAAGATTAACAATTACAATGTCACCTCCATTCAACACCAGGTTCCCAAGTTCAAGAAGTTAAACAGTCTCAATGGTCATCAGCACTGAGTCTCAGGACAGACCCAGATCTTGTGGAAGTCATAAGTGTAGTGCTGCCTAGAAATGTGTTTCCCTCAGAGGCAGGTCCAGATTCCAGTTCCTCCCTGGGATGAGATGACTTTGATAATCTTTATCATACATTTTAAGCTTTTATACTAGCATCTGTTATCTTGAGAATTTACCATCAGGTTCATGTAAAAATCAGGAGTTGGAAATGGGAAAAGCATAATCACTGCCCTCCTTCATCACCTTTGAAGTCAGATTTATTATCACTGGGATAATTCATCAATAGTCTGACAGTTATTTAGTTACATTGTTTTTACACATAGGGGATTAGCACAAAGTAAGGGAAGCTTTTGCCTCAGATTCTGTTTATAGTCCAGAAAGCCTTCCTCTTACTTTGTTCAAATTCCCACTGTTCTATTTCTACCCAGAATACTTTTTGCAGACATGAGTGCTTACCAGACATCTCTTCTATGCTTGTTCTGCCTGCTGGACTGAAGCACACAATTACTTGATGCATTCCTTCTGCAAATCATCAGTTCAT